CCCAGTGTCACGCGTATCACTGTCCCCACACTGAAAAATGGTGATCAGGGTGCTTTAACTAAAGCTCGTTTGATGAGCTTTAAGGCACCCTGCCTACCATTTTTCAGCACGGGGATGCTGATACACGTGATGCTCCAGGTGCTTTAATTGGAGCGGCTCTCGGAGACACTCTAATTAAAGCACCCCCGCACTCCTGGAACTTGTCTATAAATGCCCTGTTCTCTCAGGACATGTGGCTAGAGGCAAGAATATGAACTTTACAGCTTACTGCCTTTTACAGAAAGGGCAGCAGAAAGGAGAAACAGGATTAGGGAGGTCTTGTGTGGGTCTTTCCATAAGATTGAGGAAAAACTAACAGTAGCAAGAGCTTTGTGTGTGTGTGTAATACACTTGCACAATTCAGTTTTTGCATCTGTTTGTTATCATGAACCAAGAAAAAAAGAAGGAAAAATAAGCTTGAACATTTGAATTTTTGCTGAACTGTGCCAGCTGGTTGATTTGCCTACTGGCTTTGATACTTCCTCTTAAGGGGCTCCATCTCCTTCTCCTGTACTGTCCTCTTTCTCTAATCTCTTCAGTCTGACTTCTTTCCATCATCTTTTACTGTCTCACCAAGGATTCTGGTGACTTATGGAAGCTGTACTTTTGCTTATAGTTTCTTTCTCTCTTGCTGTAAATATATTAAGAGCCTTTGAAAAGCTAAGCTGCATTTTCACAGCTTGCTTGACAGGCTGGGATCTGTTGGGCAAGGTATATCTTTTAGACATTTTTCTCTAGTTGTATGGACCTGTCCACAGCAGGGGTGGGGGAAAGGAAGGCGGGGAGATGTGTGTGTGTGGGAGGGCTGGGGAGGTTATTAGTTCATTTTCTAAACTGATTAGATGACTATGTCTGGAATATATATGTCCATTCATGTATATATGTCCATTCACGTAGGATGAATCTGAACAAATGTATTGTCACGTTTTCCCACTAATGGTGGTCAAATGTGGATACATATCCTGTTGTCATAGTTAGTGGTTAATTACTTTTTTAGATCTAGGGTGTTTGCTGTACATGTTATATAAAATAACTGGGATGTGATACCTATGAAGTGTTGGCGGTTGAGTTGAAATGGGTAAAATTCACAGCATGAGATTCTGTCATTGATTTCTATGAGCTGTGAATTTTACTCATTTCAACTCAATTTTCAACATGTCATAGGTATCACATTCCAGGTATTTTCTATAACATGTATAGCAAATACTTAAGATCTAAAAAAAAAGTAAGTAACAACTAACTATGACAACAGGTTACTTACCCACATTTGACCACCATTAGTGGGAAAACATGACAATATTTTACAATTAAGCTGTGAAGTTAACTTAAGAAGCTAAATAGGACAAATTCACACTAACACTACTTTGCTTTCTGCTAGTACTTCAATTATTCCTTCTAGCGACTGCTCCAGCTACTGCTCTCAGAAGTAGGCCCATTTAAGGTGTCTTGGTTATGGCAGCTAAAGCACAAGTACAGTGATTCGCAACCAGGATCCTGCGACAGTCTTTGAAGGGTGTTGCTCGGAGAGGAAATAAGTGCAGGCTCTTCTCTGTCTGGCCGCTCCTCCTCCTCCCCAGCTTCTCTTCAAGCAGGTAAGCACTATAAAAAATAAATTACGTCTTTGAAACGGGGGGCTGATCAAGCCACAAATGTTATGGAGGAATGGCTCTGGTCTAAAAGGTTTGATAGCTGCTGCCCTAGTAACTTCTGAATATCTTGGCTTTAATTTCTAAATTTGCTTAGGGTAACTTTTTATGGTGTAATGAATAAAAAAAATAACAGCAGCTGCTGTTTTGCCTAAACTAGCATTCCCACCAGAGCTACCCCATTAGGATGCAAATTCAGCGCACATTAAAACTCATAAAAGAGAGAATTAACAAAAGTAAAGCAATTAGCTGAATTACTTGATAACAAAGATAAGCAGTTCAAAATAGTAAAATTATTTTAAAAAATGCATTTTCTTCTGAAACGACATCTGCGAGGAGCAAAGTTCTAATACAGTTGTCTTCTAAACAGGGAAATATTCTCTTCTAGGCCAGCTTACAGATGAATTGCCGGGGACAAGTCCTGTCTTTACTAAAGGCTTTTGTTTGGCTTCTGGGAAATTTCTGAACAAAGTGCAGTAGGATAAGGATTCAGAGAATAAATAGCCCACTTGAACTGTGGCCTCCTTATTTTTGCCATTAGCTTATTGTAATTCAACAGACAATTTGTAACATTACTTTGGCCTGTAGGTGTACGCCTTTTACAAGTTTAGCAGTTCTGGGAAGGACCAGATGAAGGTTCCCTACAGCTAACCCTTGCAGCCCGTACCCGCAGCCAGCTGGACTCTGTTCTTTTGACTTGACCAAAAGGCTGAAATCTGTTAGGCCGATTTGTCTGTGTTGGGGTTGTGGGCCACGGCCCACCACATTTACTTAGTAGCCCCCTCTAACTGGTGGCTAGTGGGGACACAGACAATTGAATGCAGGGAACAAAAAATGACTAAAGGATGTGCAGGTGGTCAAAGGGTTAAAAAAATAAGTGCACTTTCAGGGGACACTGAGCAGAGCACCCCTGACAGCACCCACCGACTCTCAAAGGCAGCCACTGAAATCTGTTAGGGGAGAATGGGAAGTTGTGTTTGAATCACTGGAGATAAAAGGAAAGAGCATCATGAGGTAACTGGCTGAATTTCTGACATCTTACAAATGCCAGGAGTTTGGGGCATAAACTGCTGAAAGCTCAAAATCTTAGAACACAACCAAAACTCCAGCTTAACTGGGATCACAGAGATTTGGTGGGATACATTTCAGGACTGGAATAGTGGCATGGAGAGGTATATAGTGTATTCTAAGTCTATAGCCTTAGGACCAGAATCAGGTAATGGACTTATGGATAGACACCAATGAGTGTCGCTTACACCGAGTTGGAGTAAATGTTCTGGGATAGCTAGCCCTGAACTCTTCAGGCCTCTTAAGGCTTACTCCCTTATTTCTCAGAGTACCTTATGCTTCTTATCGCAGCATTGATATTGACAGCATCTTAAGTCAATTCAGAGCTGCAGTTAGAAGCTTTAAACTTGATGGCTGCCAGTCAATTTTACAAGTGACCCAGTTACACAGAGTACAATTGCTTTACTTTCCAGAGGTCTTAAGTGTCAGGCTTTTAACTGATAAGCAGATAACTAGCGTCTGTAAGTGTAGCAGTAGAGAAAAATGGAGACTGTTGCGTTACTTCATTAAGCGAATAATACAACTTTGCAAGTAGGCACACAAGTGGAGTGCATTAACTGGACCCAGCCCTGCTGCCCAGGAGCCCTTCACCTACTGCTGGGGTAGGGTGGGCGGCTGGGCTGATGCGGGGCTGGGGCAACCCTGGGATCTTGGGGCGGTGACAGCGCAGGGCCCAGCTGTGATCCGCTGCCTGCTCGCCCCTGCGATGGGTGTGGGTTGTGGGCAGGGAGTGGATCGCAGCGCTGTGCTGTCACTGCCCCAGACTGCTCCCTGCCCAGCTGTGCAGGCTCACATGGCTCCTGGCTGGCCCTGGCTGAAATGAGCATGGGACGCGCAGGCAGCAGATCACAGCTGTACCCTGGCACCAGCCCTGCGCTGCCACCGCCCCAAGGTCCTGGGGTCTCTCTGGTCCCACCTGGCCGCGCACCCTGCTTGTGCGGGTCCTGCCCCTGGTGGTACAGGCAGCCGGTTACCGAACGAATCTGGTGGTACAGGCAGCGGTTACCGAACGAACTAGCGCCATGGGAGCTGCTGGAAAATGGAGTCTGACTGTGGGCCAGATCGACTGTTTTGAGCAACCCCCGCATTAGGCAGGCAGCAGCAGCACTTCTCATCCTGGCAGAAGCTACAACCATCCAGGCTCTGAACATCTTGACCATTTGCACGTGCACGTGCTGCGGAAAGTGTGGCTGATGGTGCCAGCGGCGCCTGCGGGTGGTTGCCGACTGCCGATTGGCACACGCCGCTCCCCCCGCGCCAACACCGCCGCTGTGGCGCCTGCGGGGGGTTGCCGACTGCCACTTGCTGCTGCACCGCCGACACCACTGGGAGCCCCCTGCTCGCTGCCGCCGCCTGCAGATGGGCGCTGTGTCCCCCAGTCTCCATCCTGCACGTGGCATTCGCGACGTGGACACGCCTCAGCACCCTGAAGGAGGGACGGCAGGAAGTTCAGCTGTTGCTGAAGATGGCTTTCAGTCATCAAGTGCGCCTCAGCTCGCCCCGAAATAACATCAGGTGATAAATCATGTAGCACCTATCACAACTTTCTCCCCCCACCAAAAAACCCAAACCAATATTGAACCCGCGTTGGAGCCCCAGGGCACTGGTTTAAAGAAAAGACACCCCCCCCCACTTCCTCCTCCTCCTCCTCCATTCTCTCCTATCTGCAACAAAAGCAGCATCTGCCCTGCCCCGGCCATGTCTGCCCCGTCCCCCCGAGGGGCCGTGAGCAGCGCGCGCTCCCCTCACGGGAGGGGGCGGGACCGGCCCTAACGGTCACTTTTCAAACGCTCCCGCGCACGCGCACGCGCGCGGGCGGGTGGGGGAGGGGAGGGGGCGTGGAGGAAGCGCGCGGCGCCCGGACCTATT